ACACACACACACACACACACACACACACACACACACACACACACACACACATACACACCACATACAAATACACACAAATAGACACATATATCATACATGCAAACACACACACACACACACACACACACATAACTCTCTGACACGTCACGCCAGAGTAGCCTGGGGACAACACACACACACACACACACACCACATACAAATACACACAAATAGACACACAGCACCACACATACGTACACGCACAGATAGAAACAACAACACACATAAGAACACATATATATAAACACACAGCACACATACTACGTACCACCACCACCCCCGACACAGAAACACACGCACACACATAAAAACCCTCTCAACAAAAGTGTAGGGCTTTATCGTTTCGTTTGTTCTTGCTTTAGTAAGCGTTTTACGGCACTTGCAACACAATTGGCTTTATTGTGTTAAACAATATGCAATGTGCATTGGCAACATTGAGAGGGCGCGCTCCTCATTGACCCATGCAAACAGCTTATTAATATTATTCTATCATTTTATGTTCTCACATCGATTAACAAACAAACAAATTACAAAACAAAAGCAGCCATAAGAACAAACAAACAAACAAACCAAAAGAAAAAAAGAAAAATGGAACAAAAGACGTTGTGGCAGCAACAAAAGACGTCTACCCGATCCAGCTGATTTGAGAAGCAATAATTGATTCATCTCTTCTATTCATGTATTCTTTGAACAACAGACCGATCAATTTATTGATTGAGGAGTTGATCGAAGCTTTAAAACACCCATTGATTTACCCATCGACCCACTCAATATTTCATGGACTCTTTGATTCTTTAATGGATACAAACAGGTTTGCTTAAAAATTCACATCAAAAAATATTTAATTAGAATGTACTGGCATTAATGTGGTATTTATCCTATTTGTACATTTGTGGCTTTCTTTAGCAGAAGCCAGACTCGACAGGTTCTTGACAACCAAAAACAAACAAACAAATTTAAAAATCAGATCTTTATAGCGGTTGCCCATTGCGGGTGGGATCGGATCGGGTCGGGTCGGGTCAGGTCGAATTGATTGCCCGACTCGTCGCCTGAAAACAAACTCCTTTGTTTTTGAGGCAACGAGTCGGACGCGATCGGCTTGTATCACGACTCCACGACAGCCGCTTTGCGCCCTCAATCTGGCTAGCAGACCCGACCCGACCCGGCCCGGCCCGGCCCGGCCCGGCCCGGCCCGGCCCGACCCGGCCCGACCCGACCCGATCCCTCAATGGGCATCCCGACGGTCGATGCGTGTGGAGCAGACAGAAGAAGCCACATATAAAAAGGACCCTACAACTACAACCCTAGCCCTCAACATAAAAAAAGAAAACCCATCAAGGACATAGCACTACTTTTTCCCCCAAAAAAAACCCAACAACAATAGCACAACATGTTTACGACAAGAAACACCACATCAACTAACGCAGTGATTAAGGCATGCGACAGGGAAATGAGTTGACAGTTTCCAATTTTTTTTTTTTTTTTTTTGAGAACATAAAAGGGTCACTCCATGACGAGTGAAAACTGCAGTGACAAACTGAACTCTTGGGTGATGACCTGCTGAAAATATTTTTAACAGATGTAGACCTTTTTTTCTGTTAGACGAACGTTGGAGCTTACAAAAAATAAAATAATGATAATATTAATAAAGGAGGAGGAG